TCATTGCGGTGGTCCAGATTCTACCTTCTTAGGGTTGAACTACTGCTATAATTTCGACGCTGTTGCTTATGTCAAATACATGCATAATTGTAAATGAACACAGAAAAAGTAGAGAAAAACAATCTTGTTTTCTTTCTTGCATGCATTGTCGCTTTGATTGATTATTATGAAACTTCAATCATTTCTGGTTTGTTCTAACAAACGATACCATGGCAAGTGCCCTTCCAGGGAACAGGGGAGGAAATGGAAAGGGTCTTTTGGCGCAAATCATGGCCTATGAGACTCTGGCATATACAAAGGAATTTGATCTTATTGTACTACTTTGGAGATTGTATGATATTTTTTGTGGGGTTTGTCCAAATTTTATCATGTGGAAATTTATGTGACCAATTATTAAAATTTTAGATATTAAAACCTCAAAGTATATATTAATTTTGTTAAAAACTTTAATTGTTTATTATATATGTATATTTCATAAGAATTATTCAATTTTTAAAACAAATTTGTCTATTATCAAAAAAAGAAAAAAACACTATAAGTTTGTCAGTCTCAAATTTAAAAATTTAAGATATAGTAATACTTTATATTTATGAAACGAATTTCATAAAGCATGTAAGGTTATAAATACTATGCTAAATCCAAAATCAAAGTCTCAAAATATCTCCGATCTTAAAAAATTAAAAATTATGGAAAGATGCAAAATTTGGTCTACCTAACAAATCTATTAAACCCAATGCCAAATATGAAATATTCACTTCTTGCTAACAGAATCTCTTGCCAAATCTAATCTCCAAATATCTAAAAATATTAAAATCTGAAAAATAAGAAGATTAAAAAAAAATAGTACAACAACTCAAAATTATCAATAATAATGATTAAAAAGACAAAATTGGATAATCTTATGTTATAAACATATTTATTCTGAAATTAAATTAATTCTTTTATAAAAAAATTAAACAAACATTGGACAAATCACATTCAAAACTTGAAACAAAGAAACACAAAAAAAAAAATTTAAATCACATTTCGTATCGTAAAAAAAAAAACAAAAAATTCAACCAAGAATATCACAAAAAAATAAAGTTTTAGCTATTCAAAGTTGGGTTACTGAAATGATCAAGAACTCATTTTCATCCATATTTAAAATTAATTTTTTTAAATACTCGATCAAATGATATATGTTACAAAATCCATAAAAAAAATTTCGATAACACTTCCTGTATGCTAGACCAAAACCCTAACAATTTTTGTTTTTTATTACATTTACACAGAGAAGCTCAGTCGGACTCCATCACGAAACAATTAATTGGAATGCTATGGGCCTTTGATCGGCCCAATGGATCGAGATAGCACTATAGCAAACCTAACCCCGAAAGCACATTTTGTGGTTGGACTGGGCCTTTTAACCTGGTTATGGTGATGAGCCCAACCCATGTGATGAACAATTGTCACTCCCACTTTTGATAAACTCTTTTTTATTTTTTACAAAATAAATAAATAAATGAAAATTTGTCTTACTTAATTTGTCTGAAGAACTAGTATTTTTTTTTTCTGTCCTTTACATCTCATTTGTTAAATAAGAGCCTTCATTTTTCTTTCTTGGTTTATCATTATTCAAGGAGATTTTTTTTTCCCACAATGTCTTGTATCTTAGTTCAATAACAGTTATCTAAATGAAATCCCAATTAAATAGTTTAGTAATTTGTATTTTTGTGTTTAATGGTGTCGCGTAAACATAAGATATTAATAACTATATAAGTAAACACGAATATCAAATGATTAATTAATTGTGTTAGGATTCTAGACATGTATATGGATATGTTTAGTAAACATGTAATATGCCATGACTTGGTTAACATATTTATTAAACATGTCAAGTTAAATTTTATACAATACAATACAATTTATTTATCTAATTAACATGATTAAATATATATAATTTATCACATTTTAAACCATTAATACAATTAAAATGATTAAAGTAAAGTATAATTAAGAATTATAAAAATTTACAATCAAGAAATATAAATATCTTAATATTTATTAAAAATAATAAAATTTAATTTCAATAATCAATAAATAGATTTTAACTATATATTTAACTGTATTTACCCAACACGTAAACTTGTTAAATAATTAGATAATAAATAAGTCATAAATTATAAAATTACATGATAATATAATTAATTAATCATATTTTAAATAAATTAAATAAATTTAATATAATTAAGATATTATTTATTCGTGTATTAACTATATCGATATGATTAACTTAAATAAAAACTCACTTAAATTCATGTCAGATAATTGATCTTGAATTAAGCACAACTATTTTCCAAGTACTTGAGAGTGGCTAATTTGGCAAGCCCAAAGGCCTATTTCATTCCCTCAATGCCCACAATGAACTTGACCAGGATATCCTTAACATGGCCTTTATATGTACTTTTGAATCTTTCCTTTTTCACAAAATATTTATAAAAATATCATTAAAAAAATTTTAAAAAAAGAGCTGAAGGCATAGTGTAATTAGCGAGATTAAGGTTTGAAGGCCCCAGAGGCATTTGGAGCTGAAAATCAGACTATAAATACCAAATCTCAAACTCACACAAACAGAAGGAAGTTCCCCCATTTTCTCTTCGTTCACTTCTCCCCAGCCTCTATCAGTTTATAACTTCAAAGTCAGGAAGACACTTTCTTCAAGCCTCGCACCTCATCTCCACCGTCCATTTCGTTGACTTTCCCGAATCTCCCCCAAAAGTCAAACCTCTTCCCTTCATCAAAAATCAAAATCGAAATAAAAAGGAAAAAACAAAACCCAGATTACAGGCAGGCCATTAAAAACTGAAAAAACTTCTCATAAGCCGCAACCACATAGGATCCCTCCCCTTTCTCTCACCTTCCTTCTGTGATCCCCGTAACCATTGAAGAACAAGAAAGGAAAGGCTTGTTTGCTTCTTTTTGTTTTTTGTTGTTGGGTTTTATTGCTTCTGTCTTGGGAATTAAGAAAAATTCAAAATTGAGAAGAAAAGGAAGAAGAAAAAAAGAAACCCTAGAGTGTCATGATCAGATGTTCTCGGGTGTTTGACAAGAGACGCCATGATCAACACAGCAAACGGTATGATTTCGACATCATCCTCATCGGCGAACGCTCAATCGCCGGGTTTGAAGACTTATTTTAAGACCCCGGAAGGTCGGTATAAGCTTCACTATGAAAAGACTCACCCTTCTGGCCTTCTTCACTATGCTCATGGCAAAACTGTTACTCAGGTAACCTCAAATTTCTAGGGTTTTTATTTTAATTTTCTTTCGAGTGCCCATTTTCTTAAATTATTGACAAAAATCTTATTTTTTGGCCTTTCCTTCGGGGTTTTGATCAAGACTCACCTTTTGATATAACTTTAAATTGGTCTTTTTTGTAGTATGAGATTTCTTTTTGGAGTTTTTGATACTTAAATTTTATAATTATATAATGAGAGCATTTCCAATTTATTAGTAAGTATAGGGGTTTTAACTAATACCCATTAGTTTGAAGCACCGAATTTATTAGGTTATTTTGTATCATCAATGTTATAGAGCATTGTTAAAATATTGAATTTTAAATACTTTAAATCAATGCCCATATTTATAAAGTCAATTTTCAATATTTTTCATGTTATACTTATGTTTCAGTATTGGTTTTCTAGGATTATATTTGATTAAGATTGTTGTCAGGTTACCCTAGCGCATCTGAAGGACAAGCCAGCTCCGTCAACTCCGACAGCTCCATCATCCAGCTTCAGTGCTAGCAGTGGGGTAAGATCAGCAGCAGCGAGGTGGCTAGGATCTGGGAATGGGAGCCGTGCACTTGGCTTTGTTGGAGGGAATGGTGGGGGTAAAAGTGTTAGTAGTACTAGTAGGATGGGGTCATTGGGTGCTTCGAGTTCAAGTAATTCAATGACTAATACAAATTTTGATGGGAAAGGAACATATTTAATCTTCAATGTCGGTGATACTATTTTTATAAGTGATTTGAATTCTCAAGATAAGGTAATTTAGCAATTTTTGTTAAGGTTTTTGATGAATGGGAAGGGTTATCCATGGTGGTATTTTAAGAATCTTGGTGTTTAATGTAGGATCCAATAAAGTCTATCCATTTCAGTAATTCGAACCCTGTCTGCCATGCATTTGATCAGGAGGCCAAGGATGGGCATGATTTGCTTATCGGGTTGAATTCTGGTGATGGTAATCCTTTTTAGCTTGTTTTAATTGGCAGTTTTAGTTCCAAGGTTTAAACGCTGCAAATTTATGTGTTCTGTGTGTTTTATTGTAGTTTACACGGTGTCATTGAGACAGCAGTTACAGGACGTTGGAAAGAAGCTTGTTGGGGCACAGCATTACAATAAAGATGGCTCTGTCAATAACAGGCAAGATTTAGATTAATACATCCTTTATACATTTTCTGACTTTCTAGAAGTTTGACTCTTTCGACCTATCTTCACCATTAGAGTTTTCTTTTTTAAATTTCCACGTCCAAGATGTTTCGTTTTACGCCTTTCTGCTTTATGCGTTCTGCTTCTAGGATGGTGTGAGGATAGATTGTAATACCCTATGGCTTGGAGCAAGATAGTTTTCTATGACATCATATGGCTTACTTTTTCTTTCAAATGGTGCATGTATAGCTTGTGCCATTTAATTACCATGAAAATATCTTTTTCTGGAATTTATTTTTGTTGTTTTACAGGGGCAATGTTGCCTTTTCAGTCACTCATAAATTTAATTTTCCATCCACCTTGAGACCTTGCTGTAGAGTGCTTCCTTTGTTCTCTCTTTGATCTTCAATATTTGAGCTGTACTTGTAAGGTATCAATGCTACCCACATAAAGTCAGCAACTGAGTTGGTTGTGAACCTCGTTAGCTAAATTTGACTTGTAATTGGTCTTCTGCTGCTATTTTTAAAAATTGGTTTGCTCTTGGGCTTCCCCTCGGGATGATAAAGGAGGCAACTGACTTTTGTGACTAATAGTTTTTATCTTGAATTGATGTTTACTATGATGCTTTTTGTTTCCAGCAGTCGCTGTACTAGTATCACATGGGTTCCTGGAGGGGATGGTGCTTTTGTGGTTGCTCATGCTGATGGAAATATGTACGTGTATGAAAAGGCAAGTTTCAATGATTACAGAAGGCTTTTTTCACTCTGGGGGTACAGCTTACAAATTTCATGATGTTGTATGCAGTAAGTTGTTTTTTAAGTTTTTTATTTTTTCTTCTCTATTGTTCTTTTCCCCTCTAGAACAAGGATGGTGCTGGTGATTCTTCATTCTCTGTTATCAAAGACCAAACTCAATTTTCTGTTGCGCATGCACGTTACAGTAAGGTACTGGTCATTGTTTATTTTAGAAAACTATTTTAGACTTTCTTGTTTGTGTATGCTTCCTGAAAATTGGTAGTCTTTATTTTAGAACTATTATCTAAAGCCAGAGTACGCTAATCATTCTGCATATTGTATGGTAGGTGCTACATTGCTTATGGCTTATTATTCACTATATGCACTTCTAAGTTCTAGCCAGACAACATTCTGTTTAAATTTAGATGATGCATGTGTTGCTGAGGTGTGCATGATCTAGATTGTCAAAATGTGAATTGACAGCCACATATCTTGGTGAGCTGCAAGTAGTTCTAATAGGAACCCACATTAATCATTCATACTCAAACTAAACACATTTAGAAGCAGGCAATGTGTTATGTGGATGAGAAAAAGAAATAATTTAGTCTTGTGCTTGCCTGTGGGCATGTATATGTATTTTTTCTTTGTTACAGTTATGCCATGTTAGTCTTGATAAGTGGCAAGATAGGACCTATCTTAGCACCATAATTGGTATTAGTCTGACTGTTGTTTGGCATCATTGAGGAAGCCATATACTTTTTACTCCCATCTTTCCGCGTATTGTTTGTTTGTTGACTTGCCACTATTTGCTTGCAGAGTAACCCCATTGCAAGATGGCATGTTTGTCAAGGTTCAATTAATAGCATTGCTTTCTCCTTTGATGGGTTGTACTTAGCAACTGTTGGAAGAGATGGTACCAAGTCAAATTGAAATAATTTGCATTTTATGGATTTTTTATGTCTACTTTGTTGGAACTTAAGTTTTTTTCTCTTTTTCATATGCTGAGCGCAGGTTATCTGCGAGTTTTTGACTATTCAAAAGAACAGCTCGTATGTGGTGGCAAAAGTTATTATGGTGCTCTACTATGCTGTGCTTGGAGGTGCTCTTTTTCTTAAACTTTTTAAGCTTGTGCTATCTAGAGTATCAATTTGTCACATTCCATTCTTTTATATAATATCCAACTTATTTCTTTTTGAGAAAACAAATTTTGTTATTGACAACAACGTCCACTGAACAGTATGGATGGGAAATATATTCTGACTGGAGGTGAAGATGACTTGGTTCAAGTTTGGAGTATGGAAGATCGGAAGGTCGTCGCATGGGGTGAGGGGCACAACTCATGGGTGAGATTCTTATCTTATGACGGAGGCTCCTGTGTATTTGTTGTGTGTGATGGTGGCTCTGTACTCATTTCTTTCTAAATGGTGCTGGCAGGTTAGTGGAGTGGCGTTTGATTCGTATTGGTCATCACCTAATTCTGATGGCACAGGGGAGACTGTGATGTACCGGTTTGGTTCTGTTGGTCAGGTATATAGATGTTGTTAGTCTGGTCCAAATAATGACTGTCCTAATTATTGTAATTCCGATCTCGATGCTGTGTTTTCCCATGGTTTTGTTTTGATTGTTTCTTGATTGTGTTCATGTGGATTCAACTGTTATGTTCCAAAAATGCCTAGCTTCTGCAAGTTATAGATGCCTCGCACTTACGTATATGTTGTTGAAGCAACATTTCTAGAGCTAGCACTTGCCTCCTTTGTCTACCTATGCACCAGTTGGCTGTTTCCAGGAAGGATTACTGGTGATATAGTAGCACGTGGATTGAGTATAGATTATAGGAAATTTCTAACTGTATGAAACTATAGGTCTGTATCAGTTACTATACATTATAGGTTACTTACTTTAGGTGTTTGTTTAAATAGCATCTTGAACAGCTAATATGAAGAATATCATTTTCAGTTAGCATACAAATGGAGAAAAGTGGAGACTGATGATGAAAGCCCGAACATATTGGCAAAGAATCAGGGGTATTTCGAGAATATTCTTGATGAATGGATGGCTTTCATATTTGTGGAATGTCATTCTGTCATACCAAAACATTTTGTGGTCAAGGAACATAGTTATAAAGCTAGTTATTTTTATCTTCTGCCTTTACTGTTTCCTTTTACATGTGGGAAAAGGGAGAAAAAAAGGGAGAATGAAAAAACCCTCATTTACATAGCCCCAACCATGCAACCTACACACACACACACACCAAAAGAAAAGGTTTCTTTAGATATTTTCTTTTTCTGTTTGGACAATCAGCAAGTAATTCGATCTTTCCTGTTGAAGTGGGATGAATGGCTGAAGGTTTTAAGCATTAATATATTAGACTTGAATCAGGTGGAGAATAAACTTGATGAAGCTTTATGTGTACCATATCCTATAATCTATATTATTCCTTTTTGTTTTAAACACTATGCTCCCTTGCAGCACCTGCAATATCTTCACATCTCACTATTGCCTTATGTGTAGGACACACAATTGTTATTGTGGGACCTGGAAATGGATGAAATTGTAGTGCCATTGCGTAGAGGCCCTCCTGGTGGGTCTCCCACTTACAGTACCGGTAGCCAATCTTCCCACTGGGACAATGTATGCCCATTGGGTACCCTGCAAGCTGCCCCTAGCATTCGAGATATTCCAAAAATCTCACCACTGGTTGCTCATCGTGTTCACACTGAACCTCTCTCGGGCTTAATTTTTACCCAGGAATCGGTACTTACTGTTTGTCGAGAGGGACACATAAAAATCTGGATGAGACCCGGAGTTGCAGACAGCCAATCAAGCAACAGTGAAACTGTGTTAAGTACCAGTTCAAAGGATAAGGCATTGCTTTCCAGCAAGGTTGGAAGTTCTAGCTACAAACAATGACCAGACCATCATGAAAAGATGCAAGGCAAAACAAAGCTCTTTTTTTTTTCTGCTGGAGTTGCATTTCTATTTGCTAGTGTGGCCGTTCATCTCTCTTTATCCGGTTGGTTTTCTCGAAGTACATCCGTGTGGACATGATTGAATTGCAATGAGATTAGCCAACTGAATCCATTGTATATTCAAGGACAAAAATGCCATTGACAGCACAAAGAGGTCTGGAGGAAGAAAGAACCTCCATTGTAAGTACAAACGGCTATTCCTAGAATATATTGACACTGACAGGAATAACATGAAGTTGCTCCTTTAAGATTTGTATTTCTTAGAGGTGCATTTGAGTGATTATTTATTATTGGTGATGCATCCTCACCATTACCATGTGATTTTTGTTGGATCATCCAAAAACTGATTTTGAAATGCGGATAGCTTCATGCACATAGCTTCATGAGTTCTAGGTGACTGAACTTGGACAAGTTTGTCCTGAAATTTGGGCAGATCATTCGATGATTTGGTTGAGACATAAGAATTTGCTGTTTATTCTATTAGAAAGGAAAAAAAGGAAAAGGGAATACCTTGGAAATAAACTTTGATGCATATTTATTTCTATTAGTATTAACTGTAATAGAAGGCTCTAATGATAGTAATCTGTGATGCTTATCTAGAGCTTCCAAATGGAAAATACCATGATCTAGAAAATAGTCTTAACCTCACTT